AATAGAAAGGATTCCTACCAGGGCTAGGCTTGCCCTGAGGCTCATTCTTTAATTGCTGCCCTGATCCTTCTGGTCAACATAATGACTGAATATGACATTCAGAATGATGCCTTGATTTAAGGGAAAAACAAATTCTTAATTGTGCTCCCAGCATCTTCAATTCTGGCCCCACCTACAAAATCATAAAGGAGCTGTTCTTTCTCTCCATTGCTTTGTATTACACACATTTACTGGATGCTTGTTCTGTGCAAGGATGTGTGCCAGGCAGTGTGATGATACAAAGATGAATCAGAAGCCTGAGGAATGTGCAGATAGAAGACAGAGATTGTGAACAGCTATAATGAGGACAGGAAATTGTGAGAGCCACAAAAAAGGGTACAGAATTCACCAGACATGAAAGACGAGAAGAAAATATGTTTCCTTTCAAGGAGTGGACAGATTTTTTTGTACATGTCTGAATGGAAAAATCAAGATCATAGATATGGTAACTTAGTTCTAAAAATTATCAGGGAGTCTGAATTAAACATGAATTTTATGGACAATGATTCTCTGGAACATATTTGCATACTCTACATGTTTTCATCTGGGATACCCTCTTTCCCTTATTATCCACACACCTAACTTCCATGCCCTACATAAATGTGGACATGGAAAATTAAACATGAAGTTAAATATTTCTGCTTAAATAATTGGCTTATGTGAGACAGACAATTTTCCCAATCTGATTTAAGTTATCATCCAGTGAACTGTAAATATTAAATAAAATGACCCACTTGGCAGATGAACGCTTATAGCATTTTTGCATTTTGAAATCTCTTTATTCTCCTTCCCTCCTTCATTCCTTCATTTGTCCCTTCCCTCACTTCTTCCCTCTTTCCTTTTCTTCTTTTCTCTCCTCCCTTGCTTCCTTCCGCCCGCTTCCTCATTCTCCTATTCTATTTCCCACTCCTCTATCTGTATCTGTATCTCCATCATCTCTTATTTCCACTGTTTTGTTTCTCTCTTTCTCTTTTTGGAAGCTCGATAACCCAACAGTTCTTTATATACTCGAGTTAAGAATAATGAAGGGGCTGGTGCTGTGGCAGGGGGTTAAGCCGTGGCCTGCAGTGCAGGCATCCCATCTGGGAGCCTGTTTGAGTCCTGGCTGCTCCACTTCTCATCGAGCTCCCTGCTAATGTGCCTGGGAAAGCAGAGGAGGATGGCCTAGGCCTTCAGGCCCCTGTGTCTGCATGGGAAACTTGGAAGAAGCTTCTGGCTCCTTGTTTCAACCTGGCCCAGTCCTGCCATTTTGGGGGTGAACCAGTGTAACTCTGACTTTCAAATAGATAATTTAAAAAAAAGAATGATGGAATGATTATACTACTGATTTCATAAAGAGATATTCAATAACCAAAATAAGCTAAGTTTTACCTTACAAAGTCTATTGCAAACATATGCAACAAAATTTGGTGATTTTTAAAATTCATGAATAATATTAAAAATTGACATTTAAGAACTATTAATGTAATATTATGGCTGAACAATGCTTCAAAAATTTATTACTAATACTAAGAAATTCTTCTTCTTCTAGCTGCCTGCTAATGAACCTATGAAGGCAGTGGATGATAGCTCAACTACTAGGGTCCCAGCCACTCACATGGGAGACCTAGATGGAGTTCCTGTCTCCTGGATTCAGCCTGGTCCAGCACTGGCTGCTATAGGTATTTGGGAAGTGAACCAGCAGATGGAAGACATTTCTCTCCCTCTGTCACTCCAACTTTCAAATAAATAAGTAGTAAATAAAATTATTAAAATGAGCATTTTTTTTTTTAAATTTACAGACAGTGAGAGAGAGAGAGAGAGAGAGAGAGAGAGTGACAGAAAGGTCTTCCTTGCGTTGGTTCACCCCCAAAATGTCAGCCACGGCTGCAACTACACCGATCCTAAGTCAGGAGCCAGGTGCTTCCTCCAGGTCTCCCACGTGGGTGCAGGAGCCCAAGCACTCGGGCCATACTCCACTGTCCTCCTGGGCCACAGCAGAGAGCTACACTGGAAGAGGAGAAACTGGGACTAGAATCAGTGCCCATATGGGATACCGGCGCCGCAGCAGAGGATTAACCAAATGAGACACGGTGCTAGCCCCCTAAAGTGAGCATTTTCTAATAATGTATATGAGGAAAGCTTATTTCTATGATCTAAAATATTCTTACATAATATTTTTGAAATATTTCTGACTCTATTATGGAATAATATAAATCAGCTCTGAAACATCAATATAAAAAGAGCAACCAACTGAATTGTCATATCTGGATGTTTGCCAATAGCTGACCTGAACACTTGAATAATTATGTTTACTCTTATCCGTAATGAAAGAAAAAAAGTTTATAAATGTTCATCACAATCATAATATTTTTTCTGAATAATTTTGATTGAATTCATGGTTGTGCAATCTGTGGATGTCGTGGGCTGAATGTATTTCTAACTTGTGTGAATGATTCATTATAGGCACATACTTTACACAGTTCATTTGGCAAAACAATAGATGAAGCGACTACTTTGATGATAAGTTCTACAAAATATTTCTCTAAACGATTGATATTCTATTATTTAGTGTCTTAACATTTTGATTGAAAAATATTACATTCCCAAATTACAACAATGAAACAAAAACATGCTTATCTAAATTAAATTGCAAATTTAGGGAAAAGGTATGTATATGAATTTTTCTCAGTTGAAGGCTGGGTAGTAAGAACTGTGTTCGTGTATATTGTCTTTTCAATGGAGAGGAGGAATTAACAACTAAGGGGAAAAGTTTATAAATTAGCATTGAAAAACTCTTGGGAAATGTATTTGTTTCCTTTTTCTGAAAATCTCCCCATATTCCATACTAGTTAGCACAGATTTGCTTTGAAAATTCTGATCACTATTAAGAATTATAGTAATTTCAAACTTGTATTTGTAAGCTACTGTATTACCCTGCTATTGTTTTGTAGGTTATGAAAAACCATGGGATTCCCTATATCAGAAGCAAAAGACTTAGGTCATAGACTTAGGTCATAGACTTTTCACTCAGCACTTAGCAAACAGTACGAGCTTCATGTGTGCAGTTCTTGCTCCCCAGTCTCATGGTGGGAAGACACACAAGGGCTCCAGAAGATGCTGCTCATGTAGTAGGTTTAACACATGCACAAATATAGTTTTGGAACATGAAACTTAGGTTATTGTAATACTTTATAACAAGCTGCAAGCACAGCTGTCTAATATTTGCCCTGTGGAGAGACCTAATATACAAGAGGGCTTAGAATGAGTCACACTATCTCTGTCTGCTTAGGCTGTTTATTACACAGATATCCTGGAAAAGAGTTCATAACAAAATATAGTTAGTATCTTTGCTAACAAAATATACAGAAATATGAGCTACTTATGGAGAATTATCTTTGAACAATTGCATCCCTTGTTTCTATTTTTTTTTTTTTTTGCTATGACAGATATTTCCAAGTATACAAAAATCTAGTTAGTGTGTTTGTTAGAAACTGGGACAAGATCTGTTTAGTTTGTCTCAGACAACATTGAATTGAGACCATTCCCCAAAAGACTTCAAGCAGATGGGTTAACATGCGCTGTTCACCACATGATGGCCTTCATGAGCCATTAGCATGTCCCTTACAATGCCAGATGGCTCCTCCTTAAGTTTTTGCATTGACTTTTCCACTTGGCTTAGGAATTAAACATATTGAAAGACATGTTGGTTGCTTAGCCTCCACTTTGTTCTACAAAGAAGAAATCCAGGGAAATTCTCTCATGCATATCAATCCTAGCCAGTAAATCCAAGCCAACCTGAATGCCTTAGAAACTTGAAAGTCTCTTGTGCCATATTGGTGGTGCCTTTTGAAGGGAGCCATATTGATATCTTTCACTTGAGAAATATTATCCTTATGGTGACCCTGGATAGAAAGTTTTATTTCCAATCAATGATGATATCCTTCAATTAGGAGCTATGTTGGTCAAGGGCAAATGTAGTCTGCTGATTGGGTTGTACACTTTAGGATTTCACGTTCAACTTGAATATATTTCTAATTAGAGGAAAGACCAGATTTCACTGTATTACCTACTGGATGTCATTCCTCTGCCCCACTGAATGGGAAGTTGAATGGGGAAAACATCCATAAGTATTAGAGGGGTTAGGGTCATTAAATATTCTTTCTGAGAAATCAAATCATGGTCAGAGTCATTGGAGAGAGGACCTAGGAGACAGTTGAATGTGAGGCATGTACATCAAATTTTGAGAGCTACATTAAGACATTTTCCTTCCTATGGAAATGTCCATAGCAGTACCAGATGCTTTGGGATGACAAAGAGTACAGAATGTCCATTGAATATGTTGACTGTCAAACTATTGTTGAGTGGTTTTGCAATAAAAGCTGTACCATTGTCTGATTGCAGATAGAATACAAAGAGGTCTGGTCTTTGTTCTTGGTCCCTAAGAGATAGCTTCAAGATTTTGAAAAGCCCTGCCTGATCAAAAATGTCTTTGATTACCTGGGGACTTTGAACTACAGTGTGATTTACAGTGAAGGCTTTGGGTCATGTGGCATCAGTTGATTTTCTTAGTGGCTTAAGACTGAGGTCAGCCATGTATGTGGCCAACCATGTTTATGAGAACAAGCTGAAACAAAGTCTTTGAACCCCAAGATTTGGAGGCATTTTCCTGGAAGGCAAGCAATATGCCATGCATATTGTAATATTTGTTCTAAGAAAGTCACACTCTCTGTGAATCTATTGGAAGAGGACAACTGGAAGCTCCATGTTTGGAACTTTCTTGGACTCTGCTCTATACAATTGTTCCCATGGCTGATACATATCTATCTATTTTTCTATCTATCTATCTATCTATTATCTATTATCTATCTTTCTCTGTGATAAATCATAATTGTGAGTGTAACAGCTTTCAGTGAATTGTTAGTAATTGTAGTAAATTATTTTTTTAAAGATTTATTTGAAAGTCACAGTTACACAGAGAGAGAGAGCAAGAAAGAGAGAGAGAGAGAGAGGTCTTCCATCTGTTGGTTCACTCCCCAATTGGCCGCAAAGGCCAGAGCTGTATCAATCTGAAGCCAGGAGCCAGGAGCCAGGAGTTTCTTCTGGGTTTTCCATGCGGATGCAGGGGCCCAAGGACTTGGGCCATCTTCTACTGCTTTCCCAAGCCATATCAGAGAGCTGGGTCGGAAGTGGAGCAGCCGGGTCTTGAGCCTGAACCCATGTGGGATACCAGTGCTTCAGGCCAGGGTGTTAACCCACTGTGCTACAGCGCTGGCCCCTGTAGTAAATTACTGAAAATAAAGAGCATCTTGAGGATCCCTGAACCTGCAACTTGGGACAGAAGTGAGGACAGTATGTGGACTGCTTCTTAAAACCACAACTCATTAATTTCAAAGGCCAGAATGTTGTAGCCACGGTAGACTGGAAAAACAGCGTATAATCCCCCAAAGTCCCCACTTTTAAATATAAATCTGACATACTACTGGCACCAGTGCTACTGCTATCTCGGATATGCCATTTCTATGTGGCAGGTGAGGCTTATTGATCCTCTGTATTTTTAACCTTCTGACCTTCACAACTCTTGAGTACAAGTATAACCAACTAGATAAACCTTGCTACTTATATTTCTGCTGATTTTACTGTTTCCTGTGTCCTACTGTGTCTACCATTTGGAAAACTACAAACTGGTCAATTAAAGGTGCTCCTATTTAGCACTACTACTTTCTTAAATATAGTATTTCCACTTGGTAGGTGAAATTTATTGGTCCCTTCTGAACTTCATAACTGTTTTTTTTTTTTAGGATCTATTTATTTATTTGAAACTCAGAGTTACAGATAAAGAGGGAGAGAGGGAGAAAAGGAGAAATGGAGAGACAGAGAGAGGGAGACAGAGATATCTTATAACCAGTTGCACTCTCCAGATGGCTGCAACAGCCAGGACTGGGCCAACCTGAAGTCACAAGTCAGGAGCTTCATCTTGGAATCTTCTACATGGGTGGCAGGAACCCAAGCACTTTGGACCATATTCCATTAATTTTTCCAGGATATTAACAGGGAGCCTGAAGGGAAGTGGAGTAGTTGGGACATGAACTGGCTCCCATAAGGTTTACCAGTGTTACAGGCAGCAACTTTACCTGCAATGCCACAACATCAACCCCTTGATCTAAATAACTCATGAGAAGAAGTCCAAAATCTCAAGTGTTCCTTTGTTGGAGGTTCCTTTCCTTTGGCATATATTCTAATATGCAGCATAATTAGCCAAAGATATTCATAGCTTAAAGAGAATATTCAAATTCTGGGAGTATAAATGTAGAGAAAGCTCCACAGCTGGTTATATAGGTAGAGCGTGTTCCACAGCTGGCTGGATGGTTCCAGTATAGTCTGTTGGTATCCCACATCAGGGATTCTGATTCATAGATTAACAACTATGAAAAATTTAAGTAGAATATTCCAGTGAGACAACACTGTCTCTAATACCCAAAGTGTAAATAATGTGCTGGAATTCCTTTTAGGTGATGGAGGATCCAAATAGATAGCAATTTTCTTTTGATTTCTGAAGTCATCTAGAATTATGAGGCCATTTTAATAGTTCCAGATAGTACTTGAAATGTAGTGCCATTAACCAGTCCTATAGAAGAGATGTGATAACACTTCAGTAAGAACCTTCGAGACCTGGCCTTCTGACTAACAAATTGAGTATCACCTATAACATACAAGTTTTGAATATAAGAGGAAAAAGAAATGCATGCTACTTCCTGACCTACTTACTTGTTGGAAGTTGCAGGAATGTTTGTTTCACTAACATCTCCTTACTTGTGTTCTTAGATTGGGAGAGGCCTCCATGGCACTTACGAGATGAAGAAATACAAACACTGAACACATTAATTCTACAGTAATGTTCAGATATAAAGCATCAACAGCAATCCATTGAATTGGCCCAAATGGCTCCACTTCAAAAGTTACATTAGTTTTCTTCTCCCACTGTTAACCCTGTCTAAAGATCAACAGTTGCATTTGGCCATCTCCTTCACTGCAGTACTGGATAGGCTGGTGACTTGGGTCCTTATATCCAAAACATAAATTTTTTTGAGTCTCTCCTGATGAACTTGGATTTGGATAAGTCCTTATAGTTTTGACTACAGAGAAACCCTACCCTACCCTTAATTTTATTTCTCTATAAAGTAACTAAGGTTAGAGTAAAGGGGAGAGTAAGAGATGAAGTTCACATAGGGGTAGAATCACCCCACACTGTTAAGTATGGCACATCTACTCTTGGTGTCAAGTGTTTCTGAAACTAATTTCAGATCTTCCACTCTCCCAATCTCACAATCAAATACTCAAAGAATCTCCAAAAACTATAGTATTGGTGAACAAAGCTTAAATCAAACATGTATTCTACTCAAATAAAATGAAAGGCACTATTTTGTTAAAAATCTATAATTAAATATATCTCAATTTCTACACTCAGACTTTTAAAATTATTGTTATAGTCTTAATTCAGTAGATAACAAGAAAGGAAAACTTTATGTAATCAGTAACTTCAGGCAGAGATAATAAATGCAAAGACTCTTTGCAAATAATTAAATGTCCTAATTCTGATAGTCTTTGATTAATACATTGGAAGGCAAAGCACCTTCACTGTCTTGGAATGTGGCATTGTGATAATACCACAGCTGATCTTTCATTGTTCTAGCTGAAGATTAATTATCTCTCTTCCTCCTATAATATCCGTTTAGTGCCTTATAAATTGGATCCAGCTATTAGCACTGCTCATTTATTTCCTGTGAAGATGGTCTAAGCTTTATCTGCTTGAGTGTTAGATTTAGTATTACTTTTCATTTCCTTCTTAGCTAAAAACATGTTCTTCTAAATAGCTTTGTTCTAATGCCTTTCCCTCACTTCACCCTCCACACCGTAAAGAAACACAAACAGAACATTCACACTCATACACTAATACTAAAGATGTTTTTCTCTGTTTTTTGGTTGCTTTATGATATATTTATTGTATTTGTCAAGGTTGAAAAAAGTATAAAATGGGGGAAAGATTTATCAAAATTTTTATATTTGTTGTTAGCTCATATGATTTTTCAATAATACATGCTGACAGGGAGAGACAAATATGCTGGACTTTTGTATAGGAGCTATGCATCTTTCAAACTGAGGCAGAGAAAGGGTATTCAGTTAAGCTAGGTATACTATTTTAAAAGTACAAATTTCTTGTTCTACTTCCATGTTGAAACACCATGGAATTACGTTGGTATGAGGGGGCAACAGTAAATCTAATTTTAACCAAGTGCCTCTTTTGCTTTGATGACATTTTCCCTAACTGGTGTGCATCCCACCAAGTGCTTGGGAATATAGGGGTGGGTATACCTCTTGGCAAGAATGAGTCAGATTCCCAGGCTCATGGTCAAATAAATGCAACATTCTTTTTTTTTTTTAACTTTTATTTAGTAAATATAAATTTCAAAAGTACAGTTTATGGATTACAATGGCTTTCCCCCCATAACTTCCCTCCCACTCGCACCCCTCCCATCTCCCGCTCCCTCTCCCATTCCATTCACATCAAGATTCATTTTCAGTTATCTTTATATACAGAAGATTGATTTAATATGTATTAAGTAAAGATATCATCAGTTTGCACCCACACAGAAACACAAAGTGTAAAATACTGTTTGAGTACTAGTTGTAGTATTACTTCACATTGGACAACACACTAAGGACAGATCCCACATGAGAAGTAAGTACACATTGACTCCTGTTGTTGACTTAACATTTGACACTCTTGTTTATGGCGTCAGTAATCTCCAGAGGCTCTAGTCATGAGTTGCCAAGTCAATGGAAGCCTTTAGAGTTTACTCACTTCGATCTTATTCCGACAGGGTCATAGTCAAAGTGGAAGTTCTCTCCTCCCTTCAGAGAAAGGTACCTCCTTCTTTGATGGCCCTGTTCTTTCCACTGGGATCTCACTTGCAGAGATCTTTCATTTAGGGTGTTTTTTTTTTTTTTTTTTTTTTTTTTTTTTTTGCCAGAGTGTCTTGGCTTCCCATGCCTAAAATACTCTCATGGGCTCTTCAGCCAGATCTGACTGCCTTAAGGGCTGATTCTGAGGCCACAGTGCTATTTACGACATCTGCCATTCTGTGAGTCTGCTGTGTATCTTGCTTCCCATGTTGGATTGTTCTCTCCCTTTTTGATTCTATCAGTTAGTATTAGCAGACGCTAGTCTTGTTCGTGTGATCCCTTTGACTCTTAGACCTATCAGTGTGATAAATTGTGAACTGAAATTGATCACTTGGACTAGTGAGATGGCATTGGTACATGCCACCTTGATGGGATTGAATTGGAATCCCCAGGCACATTTCTAACTCCACCATTTGGGGCAAGTCTGATTGAGCATGTCCCAAATTGTACCTCTCCTCCCTCTCTTATTCCCCCTCTTATATTTAACAGGGATCACTTTTCAGTTAAATTTAAACACCTAGGGATAATTGTGTGTTAATTACAGAGTTCAACCAATAGTACTGGTTTTGGATGGACTAAAATGGACTACTAAATTAGGGGGTAAGATTGTTAAAATGAAGACGTTAAAATGTTAAATAGTATTACTTATGGGCCGGCGCCGCGGTTGACTAGGCTAATCCTCCGCCTTGCGGCATCTGCACACCGGGTTCTAGTCCCAGTCGGGGTGCCGGATTCTGTGCCCATTGCCCCTATTCCAGGCCAGCTCTCTGCTGTGGCCAGGGAGTGCAGTGGAGGATGGCCCAAGTCCTTGGGCTCTGCACCCTATGGGAGACCAGGATAAGTACCTGGCTCCTGCCATCGGATCAGCGTGGTGCGCTGGCCGCAGCGCGCTGGCCGCGGCAGCCATTGGAGGGTGAACCAATGGCAAAAGGAAGACCTTTCTCTCTGTCCCTCTCTCTCACTGTCCACTCTGCCTGTCAAAAAAAAAAAAAAAAAAGAAAAAAATAGTATTATTTATGGCCCAAATTAAAACGAATATGCCCAATATTAGCATGGTGGAGCTGTTGTTTTTTAAATTAAAATGGAAGAAAATATAATAATTTGCAAAATAAAGAAATAAATATATTTCACTTTAAAATGTTAAAATCTACTTTCAGCTTCTTCTCTTTTTTTTTGACAGGCTGAGTAGATAGTGAGAGAGAGAGACAGAGAGAAAGGTCTTCCTTTGCCATTGGTTAACCCTCCGATGGCTGCCGCAGCCGGTGTGCTGTGGCTGGCGCACCACGCTGATCCAAAGGCAGGAGCCAGGTACTTATTCTGGTTTCCCATGAGGTGCAGGGTCCAAGGACTTGGGCCATCCTCCACTGCACTCTCTGGCTACAGCAGAGAGCTGGCCTGGAAGAGGGGCAACTGGGACAGAATCTGGCGCCCCGACCGGGACTAGAACCCGCTGTGCCGGCACCGCAAGGTGGAGGATTAGCTTAGTGGGCTGCGGCGCCGGCCTCAGTTTCTTCTATTACTATCCAGTCCCCTTTGACATCAGCAAGCTTTCTAAGGCATGATGAACCATGTGGTAGTATGTTTAAATGTTTGGGCCTGGAGCCAGACTAAGTGGGCTTAAATATTGGCTCTAATATTACTAACTGTGTAATCTGGGTTAATCAACTAAATTTTCTGTGCCATTATTATTTCATCAACAAAATGGGTAACACAATAACTTATTTGTGAGTATATACATGAACCAAAAAACCTAAAGTATATAAAAAGCATCCACCCAACCCATGATACACTTTTGATAAATCTTCACTATTGTTCTTATTGTTTCAAGTTAATAATGTCATTAGAAAATGAGATTTTATAATGATTAGTCCTATACCTGTAGCTTTAGGTCATCATGATTGAGAATATCACCAAGACCATTGAAATAGAAAATACTCAATAACAGGCAGTTGTGTTTCTCCAATGTTGCAAACCCTAAAGCTTCCTTTAGAAATAAAAAAGTAGATGTGGCACAGCAGGTTAAAGCCACGGTCTTCAGCGCTGGCATCTCTTGTGGGCACTGGTTCAAGTCCCCACTTCTCTACTTCTGATTCAGCTCCATGCTACTAAGCCTGGGAAAGCAGTGAAATATGGCCAAGTGCTTGGGCCCCTGTGCCCACACTGGAGACCTCGAGAAAGCTCCTGGCTCCTGGTTTCAGTCTGTCCCAGCCCTTGTCATTGTGGCCATTTGGGTAGTGAACCATGGATAAAATATCTCTCTCTGTGTCTCCTACTCTCTTTCTCTAACTCTGTCATTCAAATAAATAAATAAATCTTATATAAAGTAGTGGGGAAATCCTCAAATGTTCATATCTGTATCATTATTTGTTCTTGTCTTAGAGATTCTGAGCAGCGGGTTCCCCTCCTAATGAGACTGGAGGCTTATTTTCTCAAAGAAATGTTGCTGCTCATATAGCTTGCTTTTGTTTTCTTGAAATCGTTTGTTGAGTTAATTTTTTCTTTTTTTTTGTGTTCTTGCTACTTATTGGTAGAAAAATATATAATTTCAAAATTATTTCCCACTCCAGTTATGGGTTTCTGTTTTCTCTTTGAGCACTTTCTTTTATTTGGCAGAAAGAAATATTGAGGTCCTACAGGGCAGGGGTATTGTCTATTTTTATAGTG